GAACTGGAAGACAGGTGACAACTTGGGTTTCTTTCCCTCTGAAATTCCCGTACACCTGTCGTCTGTCGCTGCCGGGAAAGCAAACCCAGCGCATGGCTCAGGAGTCCCCCGGTGTTGGAAGCAGCCACGTAAGGTGCCGGCTACTAGTTCCCGGCTGCTGGCTCTCCTGGCTGTGTCCCCTTTGCTCGCTGTTGGGGTGGTAAGGTGGCCTTGGACAAGCCACATTGTCCTCTGAACTCCAGCTTGCTCAGCTGCGAGGTGGCTCAGCGTGGACTTCAGCAGTTGTTTTGAGGATTAAATTAAAGGGCTGAAGAGCCTGGCACGGGACCTGGTGCACAGTCGCCCCCCAATACCTGGCATCTACCTTGGCACGACGTCCCAACAGCGATACCACCACTAGGAGGGACGTTTTGGTCGTCTTGGTGCCTGGTTTTGGGGTATGTGGGGAGAACCTGGCCAGAGGACCTCCCTGCCCTGGACAGACTAGACGGAGCTGGGTGTGTCGGGGACAGAGGAGACGGAAGTCCTGCCTGGCGCTTTACCCTTTATCATTCTTCTTCTCTGGGAGATTAATTCTTCCCTCCGGAATCTCTCTGGATCCAGTTTCGAATAGTCCCACTTATCATAGCTCTGCGGGCGAGGATATATACCTAAGAGGGAATCAAGAGTGGTAGTGAACTTCCAAAAAAGAGAAGGGGAGACAGACCCCCCCCCATGCCCCCGCTGGTCCTGGGGAGGAGGCTGGACTTCCAGCATTGGCCCCGTTGACATTGCCCTGCGGCCGTGGGTGAGTCCTTCCTCTCTAAGAGGCTTGGGTTTCCTCATCCTGAGAGTGCAGATGGTGGTGCCTGCCTCTGGGTGCGTGGGCTGAGGGTCACACGCAGACATGCTACACGGATGGGGAAATGGTCATCACTCGCTCTCCCCGAGGGCGGGAATCAGGTCTCCTTCATCTTTGTGCCTCCAGGGCTTAGTAGCGCCTGGCAGCAACAGGCACTTTGCACATGTGGTCGTGGTGATCAGCGAACCTAGCAGTCAGCTAAGTACAGAAACGGGCCCTCCCTAAAGAGGTATTTATGATGCTGGTATTTATGGGGCTGATGCTTTTCTTTTAAGGGAACCATATGTTTCAGAGTCCTGGCCTCTTGGAACCCGGCCACCAGCCGTTCTGGAGAGCCCATTTTTCCCTCGGTTCTTTCCTTGAGGACGGGAAAGGCCCGGAGTTACTGAGACAGCTGAGCCACTGTACAAGGAGCTGTCTCCACTGGACAAAGCAAGGGGAGGATGTGTTGGGTGGCGGAGGCACGACCCTGGGCAAAAGGGGAGCAGGAAGGCGGTATAGAAAGAAGAGTCAGGGAGTGGGAGGCAGGGTCGCAAGAGAGCCTGGCTGCCGTGAGACAACCGAGGCCCCAGCTTCATCCTGCCCATTGGGGATACAAGGGTGAGCAGAGTGGACAGGGCAGGTCTGCGACGGGAGTATAATGGACCAGGCGAGAAAATAATAAGAATAATGAACAGCCATATACCAGAGACATTTTGTGGGGGTAGAGTGGGGACTGGGATCAAAAATGAGGGTGGGGTGGGGGGAAGGGAAGTGCATGGGACTATGGTGATGGCACACGGGTGACTCGGTGATGGGAAACCCGCGGGGATTACAATTGAGATGAAAAAAAATGTACAAAATGATGTTAAAATAAACTATTATATTATTTATAAAAAAAAAAAAAAGGCCTTCTCGTAAGACTGGCCTAGCTGGCACCTGAGGACTTGGCTGGTAACCTTTTCCTTACGATGAAACAAAACTTTCCCTCGGTGCCTGGGGGGGACCACCCAGACTGGTTCTAGCAAATCTCTGGACCTGGGGGCGCCTGGGGGAGCCCAGGGAAGGGGACTAGCAAGAAGTTTGCTAAAAAGCAAACTGGGGCTGTGGGGGCTGTGGGAGAGGCCGCACCGCCTGGCCACCTACAGTCACAGAGGGTGGGAGGGCAGGGTTACCCGGTGGGTCACTGCTTTCAAGGTCTGGTCCCTCGACCCTGCACACGGCTACCTACGCAGGCGGTGCAGGAACGCGTAGAAGCAGCTGGCCCTGAGGGGCCAGGGAGGCCTCGGACAGTTTTGAGGAAGGGACCTCGGGAGAGCTGAGGGCTCTGACTTCACTTGCTTCAACGTCGTGGAGCGAAAGGGAAAAGCGGCCCATGGAAAGGGCATCAGGATGAACCATCGCCAGCCTCTGCTTGGTGGACAGAGCTTTTCCGGAGTCGCCGTCTCTGAGAGGAGCGGCGGTCTTACCTGAGAACCACAGGCTCATGGTGTCGCAGATGGCAGACTTGAATTCGTGCGAGTTGAACCAGGACTGCGGGAAGCAGCAGCAGAAGCTGGTGTACAGGGCTTTGCTCAGAAGTGACGGCAGCCTCTGGGGGCAAGAGGAACTCGGCAACCTCCGGGCCCGGCCACGCTCAGAAAGGGCCCGGGGCTGTGCCCTACCTCTGCGGGCTCCTCACGCACCCCAACGCTCAGCTGTGCCTGGCCAGCAACCTCCGCTTGCTTACGGGGAATGCGGCTCAGCCCTGTGTGACCTGGCCGAAGAACAGCCCAGAGGCCAGCGAGGCACTGGCCTCCCTTGACCTGCTCTGCGGGGTACTGACCTACTCTGGACACCTGCCGTCTCCAGAGACAAAAAGGCTGCTGCTTTCACGTTCAAGCGGTGCTGGTTCTAAACTCTGGTCAGTTCAGATCACACAGGCCTGGCCCCTTGCTCATCCTGACGCGAGCACTGGCCCCCCACCCCGTTACAAACGCCACAGTATGGTGTGGAGGTTTACACAGACATCAGACACCCCTCACTGGTGGACACCGCCTTGTTCTCAAGACTTTGCCTTACAAAACATGCAAGGAAATGACCGTATTTATTAAGCGCTGCTGGCACACAGGAGGCCGTCAGAATGTACTGAGTGAATCCTGCCACCCATGACTGCAAACTACTTTTCCTGCGAGATTATACTGTCCAGAGGATGGTATAATAATAGTGATCACAGGAGCTATGCTAAGCCCACGACTCTGTCTTCCAGCTGACACGACAGGTGCCTCACAAACATCATCTCATTTAACCCTGCAGACAACTCAGCAAGAGAGGCTTCTTTTTAATATTTATTTGATTTATTTATGCATACAAGAGCTGTGGTGGAGGCCAGAGGTGCAGGGGTGAGGCGTGGGGGTGAGAGGAGTCACCAGAGACAGAGCGGGGAGCAGACTAGGCAGATCCACTGAAACACACTGCCGAGGGGAGAAGTGGGGAGACAGGAGAGGTCTGGTGCAACTGTGTGGGTCACTCCCGGCTGGGATCGAGCTCAGGCCACAGTGTCTGCCCATAGCTTCATAGCTCTGAGACTTAACCCCTTGTGCCCCCAGGGAGGCCTGAGACAGGCATTATTATTCCATTTTGTGGATCATGAAACTGAGGCCCAGTCAGCCCACATGACTTCCTAGGCGGGCACTGTGGCACGAAGGGCCTTGAGCACAAGTGTATCTGTTCACCACCCACTAGGTCTCTGCAGAGAGAGCCAGTTCCCTCATCCTCCAAGACCCTGGGAATTCGACTTTCTGATCTATGCAATCGCACAGGTAAACAGGGGCGTGGAGTGATGACTGTTTTAGTCTGCAATTCTGACTATTGTCAAGAATAAACTTCTCCCTATTTGTATTTTATCCCTGGTGACTTTCTAGTATATATACTTTGCCCACTGGTCGGTGGGGGAGAGGGGGTTTCCGTTTTTCCTACTAATTTGCAGGGAGTTTTTATCTTGTTTACATATTTACTACTGTGTTTTTGTATAGTTCCTCACTTGCCTTTTAATTTTTTCAGAGTAGTTTTAAAATTTTTCTATCACTAAATCCATCAGATTTCCCCTTTATGTCCTTGGAGAAATTTTAAAAGTCCCTCCCCACACCCAAGTCATGCAAATAGTCACTTCTATTTTCTTTTGCAATTCTTTTAGCGTGGATATATATATATATATATACACACACACACATATACAAACAATACACATAGTAAAAGTATATATGTATATTTATATTAAGTTTAAAATTGTATGCTTATTTAGATAAAATAGAAAAAGCAAACCTCTTATAACTTCTTTCCCCAGAAATAACCATCACTAAGAGTTCGGCAATGTTATTCCAGACCACTTTCTACTCACAGGCACGCGTACACACGTGTGCACACACTCAACACACTGTACAGACTGCCTTGCTTTTCTCTTCAAATATGTCACCTCCACTTTCCCGATGAGCACGCTGCTACGTCGCGACTTGCTCACTACTCCCTGATGGAAAGTGTCAAGGGCATTCTACTGGTTTTAGGTGGGAAGAAATGATGAGCGCCATTTCCTTTTTCCTGAACAGGGTGTTGCTTACTTTTAAGATTGCCTCTTCATACTGGGATCTTGTGTCACAAGACAGAAGAAAGGCGTAGTGTTGTGCTATCCGGTCAAACAGTTTATTCTGAGCTTCTTTGTTAGGCTGGCAGGAAGAATTACAGAGAAGGAGTGACTGAGGCCCTTGTGGAAGCAGACAAGGGCTGAGCTTAAATAAGGATTTCTCTGGTGCTTCAGAGTCTGGCAGCGTTTCAGCTCGATATTACGGTAACACTGGCGTGTCTCGTGGGGTTGGCGAGACTGCCGCAGAGAGGCAGCGCACCCAGGAGGCCCTAACTCTGGGCCAGGAGGGCCTGACCTTGCTCCAGGTGCTGCCCTTGACCCTCTGTGTGACCTGGAGCAGCCAAGAAGCTGGGGGGCGGGGGGTTCCTGGACATGGTGGGGTTCCAGGACGTGGTGTGAGAGCAAAAGCCCCGGGGATGTGGGAGCAGTGGGTGGGGCAGGAGGGGGCCACAGACGAGGCCGGGGGTGTTCCATGGAGTCAGCCCGAGTTAAAGGGTTGGGATTTGTCCCACAGGAAAATAACTTGAGCAAAAGAAGCGAGCAGACGGGCATTACCTGGTACCTCTCATGAAAGATCCACCAGAAGCTGTCCAGCCATATGGCCTTTGGGGACGGAGAAGACAGGAACTTCTCTAATTCTCTTTCTGAACAGAAAGACTTGAAAAGAAACAAAAGCCACACGTTACTGCTGTTCAGTTTTTTGGGGAGATTCACCTGGAGCCAGGTTCCTGCTCCTCAAAACCACTCAAAATCTGCCTTCCCACGTGCCCGTCCCACGGTTCCTTGGGACCTCACCCCCTGCCAGTCACCTTTGGAGTCGATGCAGTGGGACCTGAGGATGATCTGAGCACAGAAAACAACAGGAAGGGGCCCTCCTTGGTGGCACAGAGGGCTAGGACGCAGCGCTGCAAGCCACCGCCCCTTCAGTGCGGGTTCCACCCCTGGCCCTGAGGTCACCACGTGGCGTGGCAGACCTCTCCTGCTCCCCGCTGCTCCCCTCAGCAGTGTTCTTCATCGATCTGCCTGTTCTGCTCCCCACTCTGTCTCTGGTGAATCCTCTCACCGCCCCTGAGCCTCTGGCCTGCACCCCAGTTCTGTGTGCATAAATCAGTAAATTAAAAAACAAAAAACTGTCCCTGATCACAGTGATAAGGACCCATCACAGTACTGCAGCCCCGCACAGAGCACTCCTGCACATTGTCAGATTTCATTTTGCACAAACGCTTCTCCCTCAGGTACGGGAGAAAAACTGGCGCCCAGAGAGCTGTGTGGCCTCCGGTAGCAGCCTCCTTCTTTTTAGAAAAATTGTATTAAGAGAAAAAGCAAATCAGTTTGCTGACCTGCAGGGCAGTAACTGTCATTTGTACATAAACATGCATCACAGGGTGCGCGCTCAGCCCGAGGGGCGCAGACCGAGAGCCAGGCAGGGGGGTGGGGAGGGAACCGGCTGGAGTGAGCGTGGGCGGCAGGCGCGGGACCCCTCTGGTCTTTGCCCATGGCGCGTCCACCACGGCTCTGGCTCAGTTTCCTGGGGTGTAGACCAGGGACGGCGCTGTTAAGTTGTGGACTCTGGCACAGCTTGCCTGCAGACGTCTGTCTGTTATTTCCGGAGGCCAAAAAGCAGAATGGGAAAGTGGGTCCTTTTCGGGTTGCAGGGGAGAGTGCAGCGGCCCCTGGCCGTGGTGGAGAATGTGGGTGCCTGGGTGGGTGGGGGGGGGTGACAGGCAGCCAAAGACGCGTGACCTTCCACCTCCAAAGCAACAGTTGTGTAAATCAACGTTGGCGACAAGACTTAAAACAATGGCAGGAAGGAGAGAGCCGGGCACAGCTGGCCCAGAGCTGCGGTCCCGGGCGCCGCCGGTCTCCTTACCACACCGCTCATGGGGTTCCTCTCGGCCAGGATCACGTTGCCCACCATGTCGCAGAAGTCCACCCCGTTGGGGAGCTGGTTCGGCCCAGCGCTGTTAAATTGTGGGCTCTGGTACAACTCTGCCAGGAGATTTTTATCTGTTATTTTCTGAAGCAAAAAGGCAGAATAGGAAAGCAGGTCCATTGCCGGCCGCTGAAAAGAGCGGTCCAGCTCCTTTTGATCGCAAAGACAGTATCAAGGCTCGATGAGGGGGAGCAAAGGAGGGCACTCGGGCCCGGCACCCCTTGAAACACCCGTCTCTACGATTTCTACCTCCCTTCCAGGCTTTAAACACAACTCTGCAGATACACCCGTGGCAAGGCAGCCATTTCCTAAAAAATGTAAGCACACATGCTTTCCTGTCCTGCTTTATCCACTTCACTTTAGACCACTCATGTTGCTACACTGTCTTCAAATGATTCCCCTAAACAAGGAGATCCATGACAACAGTATGATTTCATTTCCCAAATAATAGCATCTCATTAAGATGTGCTATCATTTAATTAACCACTCACCCATTACTTCCAATTATTATTCTTGTCATTAATAACCTGGAGCCTATCACTCCCCCTTTCTTGGGTTCATTTAGTATGAATGGCTCAAGATGGTAACATCAGACCAAAGGGGGTGATTATCACTATGGTTCTCTCGATAATTAAGTGATTTTCAAAACAAAAGTAACATATGGTGACTATAAAAAAATGCCAAAATATAGAAAAGAAGACAGAGGAAGCCAGTCAGCACCCCAGTACAGAAGCACGCCCTGGGGTCATGGCGAGGAGCTGACCTGCTCCCTGCCGGGCTGTGACGCCAGCAGGGTGGCCCCAGCAGCAGACCACACTGGGCCAGGCCCTGAACAGAGTCTACTTCATGCCCCGTGGGAGAGGTCAGAGCAGACCAGCGGGGCCGCTTACCCGCTTAGGAATGGACACTCTCACACCCCTGAATTCTGCCCTTCTGCAGAGGGACTCCTTCTCCCTTTGACTCTTGTCTGCAGGTGAACAGGAGAGGGGAAACTGGTCAGGGGTGACCGGGGCTGCCCATGCTGGGCAGAGGTTAGTAGTGACTTCTCATTGCACCCGAGTTGCCAGGCCACACTACCTTAGGGCACTCACTGGAGTGAGACCCCTTGAGCCAGAGAAGCCGCCAGGAGAAACAAAGCCTGGATTTTGAAATCCGGTTCAGATGACCCCAGGGCCTAGCACACATGATGTGCGACTCTGGACAGGTTTTCTGCCCACCCCCACCTCCGCAGTCTGTTCCTCGTCCCTAACATATGGTCACAGTACTCACCTCGTAGGTAGGGGCACTAGAAGGCCTGAGAGAGGCACGCAGGAGCGCCCGGCACCAGAGGCCGCGGCGGGCCATCGCTGAGGAACACCCCCTCCCGCCCTCCCGCCCTCATGCCCCATGTCAAGAAGTCTGATTTAAGGCTCCTTAAGGCAGGACAAAGAATCCTGGATTCCCAATCCAACTGCAGTTGAGAGCCCATCAAAGGAAAAAGAAAAGAAACTGAATCCCACAAAAACACCATCAAGAGTGAGAGAAGGATTTTTGCCTCTGTCTCCCAGGCTGATGCGACTTTTCTCTCGTAAAGCCTTCTTCTCCAGCTCATCTTTCTCAGTTGCCTTCAAAAATCAAAAAGAAAGACATCAGAGCCGGAAGCAACCGTGGGCAGGTGACTGTCAGGGAGCAGGCCGCGGCCCTGGGGGCGCGTGACCGGGAGCCAGGTTTTGGGCAGCAGCTGCTGGGCCCCCCCGGGATGGAGGGTCTTGGTGGCTGCCCCTTCACTCTCCCTGCTGTCACCCCCACAGGACCTCCACCCCAGGCCACTGCTCTGAGGAGAAAAGGCTCAGATCACGGCTTTGCTGGCTCTGAGCTGTGTTTGGGCTCTTTGAAAGGAAGTAGTAATAGCTCCTTCCGGGATTCCTAGAAGGATCAAACACCAAGTATTTCATGCATTTTTAAACACCAGTAAAATGCTATCGGGGAGGAGCTACTTAACAAAGGGTAACGGTCATTATTGTTATTAATCAATTTAGCCTGAGACTTCGCCTGACTCTGTCTCCCCCCAGCCCTACCCCTGGAAAGAGACAAATGACTGGCACAGACTCAGCGAGTTGTCTTGATTGTTAATCATAAGCCCGCACTGTGCTGGGATAAAAAAGCTAACAAAGAAACAGGATTCTGTGTTCTTGCCCTCAGAGAACTGACACTCTATTTGGAGCATCAGATCAATACACGTGGAGCAATTCATTCCTAAACTGTAACACTAAGGATTCAAATAAGTGAGTCAGTGAGGCGCAGTCAGGAAGGACGGCCAGAGAGGTGGGGCTGAGCTTCGAGGGAATGATGAGGCCTCTCTTAGCTTGATCAACTGAAAGGTCCCCCCGCCTGGCTTCTCACCCCAAATCTGCACTCCCCAGCCTGCGGGCCTGATGCTGTTGAGTGTGTGTGCAGATCTAAGTGTCACCTCCATAGCTAAAAAGATCCACTCAAGAGGGGCGTTGGAAAGGGAAGACAAAAATAAAAAAAGATTAGCTGGAGAGCTGAATTGACCCCAACAGACAGATCTGGGGTGAGGGGAGAGCTACCAGTGTGGCCACAGGTCAGGGCCCTATGGGCAAAGGATCTATGCCAGGTGGGAAGGGGTGAGGAAGTTTAGGTCTGAGAGCCATCTGGCAGGTAGAAGAGAGGCAGGGTCAAGACAGACAAACAGCACAGGAAAGTGATGGGGAGGAAGGAGGAGGGGAGGAGGAGAGAGCAGGGGGAGGAGGGAAGAGGGGTAGAGGAGGGGAGGGGGAGACAGCAGAGGAGGGGAGGAGGGGGACAGGGCAGAGGAGGGGGATGAAAAAGCTGCAGGTTAGAGACAGGACTTGGCCGCTGCACACAGAAACCCCAGAGTAAACCCTCATCGGTGTGATCAAGAAAGAAAAATCCAAAACTATATGACACTGGAAAAGGCAAAACCGTGGAGACAAAGACAGTGGGTGGCGAGTTAGTTCGGAAGGAGGATGAGCAGGAGGTGGGCAGAGGCTTAGCGGCAGTGAGACGGTGCCACAGAGATGGACACAGGCCACACCCGCGTCCACACCCACAGAATGAAGCCCTGTGGGTGGTGATGCAGTCACAGAGGACGCCAGCTGTCACCGAGGCACCACCAGCGGTAGAGGGCCAGAGCCTCCCTGGTGGCAGGGGCTCAGTCTCAGCACTGCCAACTTATCGCAGCCACTTCCTCTGAGCTCCACCCTGGCCAGGGAGCGACCCCTGGAGCGCAGCAGCCCTCTCCAGTCTCCCTGCTGATCCACCTGTTCTGCTCCCCACTCTGTCTCACCCCCCTGCACCTCTGGCCTGCACCCCAGCTCTTGTGTGCATAAATAAATAAAAATCCTTAAAAAAAAAAGCAACTAAATGGTGGCCTTCTTCCCTGGCAGCCTGGGCTCGGCCCGCGTCCAGAACTCACCAGGCTGTCCATCCACGGGCTGGGGCTCAGCCCTATTTCAGCAATCCTTCGATTCACCAGGTGTATGGGGCCTATGAGGCACGCTGGGAGAGAGGCGGCTAAGGAAACCGGTCACACAGGCAGGCAGGGCCTCGGGCCAGCAGGGTCCTCACTCCTCAGACCTGATTTCATCCTTTGCAAACGTGCAAACATGTCTTGCTTTAAAGCAGTCGATATGTAAATATAGCAATATCAGTGATAATGGAAACTAACCCTATGCTAAGCACTATGCGAGGCATAAACAGGACAAAGACTCATCTAGGTCCTAGACCTTGTTAGGACTTGGGAAGAGTTCCCTCTGGGAGTTTCTCTGCAGCACTTCGGACCTTCCTTTACGACCGCAGCGAGTGCCGGTTTTATACTAACTTCTGTTCCACTCGTTGTCATGATCTTTTCCAGATGGCTCGAGTCTCTGTGCTATTTTAAACGACACTCTACTAGTCTGTTTAGAGGCTGCGGCCTAAACGCTTGACAATATGTAAGACACTGGCAATTTTTTGCCATCGTAAGTCACTCTGTGGTGCACAAGCTGCATGCACCTGTTCCCATGTTTCGGATTATTCCCTGAAGACGCGTCCAGGTGAGGGGTGACTGGGTGAAGGCGGTCTCCACCTCGCTGATGACCGGTGAAATCTCTGGTGTGCCTCTGCTCGCCTCTCCCTCTGCTCGCCCGCTCGGCCTTGGCATCTCTGCCGAGCTGCCTTCGGGCTAGCTGACATCCTTCAGGAGCCCACCGCTGCCGGCTGCCCTCACTCGAGAGAGGTCCGCTCTTGCCCAGGACCCTCGAGCTTCTGGCAAATGCAGGAGGGTGGGCAAATGAGGGTGCCAAGGAAGCATGTGCGAAATGGGGGGGGATGTGGTTGCCCACATGTGGGACTCCTAGAAAGGGCAGGAGGTGAAGCGCAGGGGCGCCAGGCACTGGAGTGCGGCCCCTGACAAGGGTTTTGAGCTCCTGACTTGTAGGAGCGAGCAGGAGAGGACATGGAGAGGCCTGGGGTTCAGCAGGAGGTGGTTACCTCCAGAGAGGGGGTTCTGGGAGCTCCTGGGCACCCCGAGTTAAAAACTTTTTTTAAAAGTTGAGTCTTGGGCCCTCCCTGGTGGTGCAGGGGTTAAGTCTCAGCGCTATGAAGCTGCCCGCAGCCACTGCAGCACGAGTTCAACTCCCGGCTAGGGAGTGGCCACAGGGCACAGCAGACCTCTCCTGTCTCCCTGCTGCTCCCCTCAGCAGTGGATTTCAGTAGATCTGCATGTTCTGCTCCCCACGCTGTCGCTGGGGAATCCTCTCACCCCCCTCACTTCTGGCCTGTACCCCAGTTCTGTATGCATGAATAAATCAATCTTCAAAAAGGAAGCAAGCAAGCTGAGTCTTGAGCTCACTTGTCTGAGGCCAGCAGGCCGACTTCTCGTTTGCTCTCTTGATGCATAATTCTTCAGAAGGCAGACGGGAAAGAAGGTGAGCATGGAAAAGAGCAGTCTTTTCCTCTTTCCATAAACGTTTCCAGTATTTCTTTCTTTGGGGTTGTTTCTATGTGTAAAATAAACTCAAGTCAAATGGCCCTGTGCAGTCTCCTTTTAGAGGCTACATAAGGTCAAGTCACCGGACAGCAGAGAACCCACATATGGGGGAGGGGGCCAGAGAGAGGGGTTATGGCTGCAGCTGTGTCTGGTCACCAGTACAGCTGGCACCCCGGAAGGATACAGGGTGGGTTGTCTCTCAGAATCTTCCTCACGGCTCTCTTCATCTCATCCCGCGCAGTGGGCGAGACGGCCAGGTGCTCCTCCACGGCCACCAGCGGCAAGGCGTTGAGGTTGATGCTCTCCAGCTTCCTGCGGCATCCCATCATCCCGGCTCCTGTGGGCATGGCGAGCTTCCACCACCAAGAGCCTCTCACTTCCCGTTCGGATCTTGTTCTGTTCAACCAGCCTCCTGGGAATCACAGCGAGCAAAGAGCCGTCTCAGAGCACACCCTGACTCATTGCTAAGCAGGGCCTCCGGCCAGGCTCCTGCTGCTTGCAGTTGGGGTTGGGGTGAGGGGGGTCGGCGTGAGGGCGGAGATAGAGGGTAGGATAAGCTCCTTCTTTTTTTTAAAGATTGATTTAGTTATGCATACAAGATCGGGGGTACAGGCAGTTGAGAGGATCACCAGAGACAGAGTGGGGAGTAGAACAGGCGGATGGACTGAAACACACTGCTGAGGGAGCAGCAGGTGAGTCAGGAGAGGTCTGCTGGGCCCTGGGGGTCACTCTCTGGCCGGGGATTGAACCCATGATGCAGTGGCTGCGGCAGCTTCATAGTGCTGAGACTTAACCCCTGTGCCACCAGGGAGGGCTGAGAGGCTCATTCTTAACTCAGGATTTCAAGGCCTATGTCCATTTTCTCTCTACCTGCTGAGGCCTAGTTTTAAAAATAAGAGAGCTGGGACAGCCATGGCTCCAGCCCACTCAGTGAGCCAGTTTCCACACTGGAAGTGAAGGTGTCTCACTGAGGCTGGCTCGCAAAGTCACAGAGGTGGCTTAGGGCCCTCAGGGCCTTCTTGGCTCTCAGGTGCTACAACTCCGTGTTCCTGGTTCCATTGCGTCAGTGAGAGGCCTTCTGCTGCCGGTCAGAAAACTGATCCCCACACAATTCCTCCTCCTGGGTTACAACAGGCTGGGTGTTTGCTTCTTGGCCAAGAGCAACTCACTACCATTTGCCACTCCCCCATGTCCAGAGCCTGGCATGTAGGCCTAAGTCTAAGCAAGACTGAGTAGTGCCCTCAAGAGAGGACCCACCAGACAGAGCGGGAAGCAGAACAGGTGGATCCACTGAATTCCACTGCTGAGGGGAGCAGCAGGGAGACAGGAGAGGTCTGCTGCGCCCTGTGGGTCACTCCCTGGCCAGGGGATCGAACTTGAGCTGCAGCGGCTTCATAGTGCTGCACTTTAACCTGTTGCCACCAGGAGGGCCCATAAACCTGTCCTTTCAAAATGTAAAAACAATTATGAACTACGCGTGTGAACACACCTTCAGAGGGAGGTACACAGCACTGTGAGATGACATATTGGCAGGCTTTGACTTTGTCAAGGTGGTCAGGGTTTGAAGGGAAGGCAGGAGTCAATTACATAAAGTGAGAGAGGAAATAAAATCCATGCGAACAAGAGTAGGAAGGTGGGCCCTCCCGGTGCACAGCAGTGTGGAGCACAGCACTGCGAAGCTGTCACAGCCACTGCAGCACGAGTTGGGTCCCCGGCCAGGGAGTGACCGGCAGGGCGCAGCAGACCCCTCCTGTCTCCCCGCTGCTCCCCTCAGCAGTGTGCTTCAGTGGATCTGCCTGTCCTGCTCCCCACTCTGTCTCTGGTGAACCAACCACACGTCAGGCCTGAGCCCCAGTCATCGTATGCATGAAGAAAGATAAATCTTCTTTAAAAAGTAGGGAGGCAGGGAGAGGCTAGACGCTCACAGCTCCGCGGCTGCTCGCAAGGTAATGACTGAGGCCTGCTACTTGGTTAGCAAGCACTGTTCGCTTGTAATTCATTTAAAATTTGTAAATGACCTGCACCCCCATGTTTATTGCTGCTTTATTTACAATTGGAAAAACATGGAAGCAGCCCAAATGCCCAAAAGTAGATGACTGGATTAGAAAGATGTGGTACAGGCCCTCCCTGGTGGCGCAGTGGGTTAAAGCACAGCATTGCGAAGCTAAGGCCACTTGCACATGAGTTCGATCCCCGCCTGCCCCGGAGGAGACCACATGGCGTGGCAGACCTCTCCTGGCCCGCCCGCTGCTCCCCTCAGCAGTGTACTTCATGGATCTGCCTGTTCTGCTCCCCACTCTGTCTCTGGTGGAGCCTCTCACCGCCCCTGCACCTCTGGCCTGTACCCCAGCTCTGTATGCATAAATAAATAAATCTTAAAAAAAAAAAGATGTGGTACATATATACAATGGAATATTACTCAGCAACCAAAAAAGAGAAACACATGTCTTTTGCAGCAACTTGGATGGAGCTGGAAAAGATCATGCTTAGTGAGATAAGCCAGAAAGAGAAAGAAAAATACCGGATGGTTTCACTCATAGCAGGAGTATAATGGACCAGGCGAGAAAATATCAAAAATAATGAACAACCATATACCAGAGACAGAGACATTTTGTGGGGGTGAAGTGAGGAATGGGATCAAAAACGGGGGGGGGAATGCACGGGATGATGGTGATGGCACACGGGTTATTTGGTGATGGGAAACCCGCGGGGATTACAATGGAGATGGAAAAAAAATGTACAAAATGATGTAAAAATAAACTTATGTAATAAATAAAAAGATCTAGGCTATCACAAAAAAAAATTTGTAAATGAAGCAGTATAAATTTCACCATATTGATATGTTGAAGTGATAACGTTTGGGACATCAAATAAAGTGACTTTAATAAAATGCTGGTCAGTCTTCTATCACCTACCTTTATTTACTTTGGAAACCTGGCCGCCAGAAGATTCCCCGTTTTCTGTGCGGGCCGTATTATGTCTCTACCCCACCGCGCTGGACCAGACAGTACAGATTCTGGCTCTAGGTCAAGGAATTCTCTCCTTTTCAATGAAATGAGGTGGAGCCGAAAGAAGATATACTTGGAGTCAGCGAACTGGGGTCCTGGTGTCCCTCGATGGATGACCCTGTGCACCCACTGGCCGTCCAATAAATATCCCTTGAATGGCCTCCA